ATATATATATATATATTCATATCAAACAATATAATTTTATGACAAATTGTTATAAAATGAGTTAAAACAAAATAACAGTGAATAACATATTTTACGATTTGACATTGATTCCAAATAACAGGTATTGATAAGTTTTCACTGACATGCTCCCACTCTATTTTTCATCAATAACTTATTTCTGTTAAAGCTACGCAATCGCGCACGCAGTTCAACCTTTCATCAATAGATAAAGTCGAGGATAAAATTATTACGGTCAGTGTTACAATTGACCCTCTATTACAACTGACCACTCTCCCCTAATTAGGAATATAAGTATTACAAAAAATAAAAATAAAAATATTTTGAAATATATAAAAAGTTCTCTATTGTGTGACGACATATTTTATGCGGTATGTACTAAATAATTAGAGGTAATGAAGGACATGTCTATTATCTTACGAAAATATTCGTACAGGTGCGTCTAGATTATCAAGCGGAACTGCGAGCCGAGTTTCTTCAAAGGAACCAAACTTCTTCAGAGATTTGATTCAACAATGGGGATGCATGCTCGGCTTGCGATTGAGACTCGGCTCGATAATCTGGATGCACTTTTACATTTACTGTGATTCATGCACTGCGGCATATTGCTCGAATATCACTATTTATAAGGTTATTTATATTTATATATAATATTATATAATATTCAGCAAAAAAAAAATTTCCTGATATTTAGAATAAAGCAACAGTATTATAGCAGCATGCATTTGAAATCAATATGGATCATAACTATGGATTGTTGCTCTCGATGGTCGCTTGTTCAAGAGATAATAACAAATGCTGGAAATACATTTGTAACGCCATGTTACAGGCTACAGCACAAAAAGATGGTAAGCGGTAAGAAAATTAACATACTGAATTTACTATTGCTTACATTATGGCCTTACGATCTCTGCTATGATTCGCCAATTCGCTTACTGCTTACGCTTTATTATTTAAGTTTTTTGTGTGCCTTATCTCTTATTATATGTACATATATATACATACAACGGAGATAAAATGCCTTAGAACCCAAAGTTGTAAAAGTATTAAAGAAGGTATGAGAAGGCATTTGTTCTCCATCGTACATGTAGGAAGCCTTGTATCTCTTAAAGAAAAATATCGTAAGTTTATAAGGGTGATACCTCCAATCATTATGTTCATCATTATCTCGTTATTCTGGATCTTTTGTTAGTATACCGAAAGATATTTCTTATTAGCGTGTAACTTGAAATATCATTTCCATTTAGAAATTATTGTAGTACTTCAAATTTAAAGGTACTAATATATTGAGAGGATTTTACAAGTCATCTGTTTTATAAATTAAACGCAATAATTTTCATAAAAAATTTTCGTATGTGTTATTTTTACAAATTTGAGAATTCTTTATCAGAATTAAAATATAAGCATTAATACTAATCTAATAGAATGTATGCCGAAAAAAAAAATTTTTTAATCGATTAAGAAATTATAAAATCTTTATTATTTGTTAATCTAATATAGTGATTAGACTGATTAGAGTTACTAAAACATGATAATATTCATTTGATGCACATAAAATACTTTGCAAACTATATTTACAAAATTAGAGTCTCTAAACTAGTAAATTACGTGAAGAAGCA